TAGAGACACAAAAATCTTCTTCTTCACTCGATAATCTGAATAGCATGTTACTGACTTATTCTGCACTTTTAAACAATAACTTTTGTTAATTTGGGTAAAGTTGGCCCGTAGATTTCACTTTTTTCACTAAATTTTTGATTATTTTGGTTGAAACAATTGAAAAATTACAATTAAATGACTTTAAATTGCTTGATCCAATAGGTGGCGCCAACACGAAATTCTATCAAGTTAAGGGTAACCCTACTGTACCAGAATTTTTTTACAGACATGCTCACAACTAATATTTGGTTTGAGACTTCTGTCTACTTCATATTGTTTTTTTTCTGTTTCATTTTTGTGTTTGCTTTCTTCAATTATTAAATTGTGATTAGTTGTGATTTTGTGTTTTTACATCTACTTAACAAACGAGACAAATTAAAACGAAGCAAATTATAGCTAAAGACTCTTTATAAAACAAAACGAAATCAACTCAATTTGAGATATAGTGAACGCCCTTTTCCTTGCTTTATTTCTTTTCTCTTTCCTATCTTTATATTCACAGATTTTTACTGACATTGTCCATTACATGAGTGTACGTGAAATTTACAAATTTTTAAAGTCTCAAAAAAATTGAATGTTTTGGTTCATAGGTTGATTATTTGGTTTTACGTATGGAGATAGACAACATTTGCAAATTATTGCAGAATGTTAAAAATTTACCCTCCACTGGAAATGAGGAGCAATTGAAAAAAGACATTGAGGTGATCATCAATGTACTTCAATGCCCAGTTTTCGGTAATATTGTTGTTGTCAAAGAATCGTTGGATCGCCTCAAAAGTGAGATAACCAAACATCCTTCCATCCTTCCTCTTGATTTTGACATTGTTCCCGAGACTGGAAAATTAATCTTAAATGTCCCTAACGCTGGAGGTTATATCGACTCGAGTGGTCTAAGGTAAGGACTATCTGTGACTGTGTAACTGTGAGTACTTCAGTATTCTGAAGAATTCTTAATTACATTTGAATATTATTTTCTTTGTTTACAATATTGTTATGTTAATTTATAGTTTTGATTTATTCTTGTATTTGATTTATATTTTTTTTCATTTCACAGGGATAGTCAATTGCAGGAAAATGATCACATTTTAGGTTTAGATGGTAAAATATACGAGAATTGTCTCCCACAACTTGATTTATTACAAAAAAGTAATCACGGAATAAGTAATCTCGGATTTTCCCAAGAATCCTGTTTGAGCGACAAAATTGTTCCCAGAGATTACAATCTCAATACAAATGATACCATTGTGATTGATAAAGAAGACAGCGATAAAATAGGTCAAGATATGGTTTTAACAACAGAGTGGGCTCAAGTTGAATCTATTGATTTAATTAATGAAGACAGTGGCCTTGGATTCGGTATTATTGGTGGACGATCTACCGGTGTCGTTGTAAAGACTATTTTACCTGGTGGGTCGGCTGATCGTGATGGAAGGTTACAAATAGGTGATCATATACTACAAATAAATGATGTCAATTTGCGGGGTATGAGCTCTGAACAAGTTGCTCAAGTATTACGTATAGCTGGAAGTGATGTCCGATTAATAGTTGCACGTCCTATTGAACCATCTTCCGATTTTCATGTTTTACAAAGCAGTGGTCCAGCTGTACCTACACGAATACTTAACGACCCAGAAGCTGTTGAACGTCATTTAGCTTTATATCATCAGGTAATTTAATTTAATGTTCATAAATTTCGTTTCTTCATATTTCCAAGACCTATTCATTCATATTTGATCTGATTGTTTCTTTTAGCAAACTTCTGGTAGCATTGGTTCTATTAATTCAGTTCCTTCCATCTCAGCATTTAGCAACCCTTTTCCTCTGGTATCCTTTAACGACTCTGAATCAGGTCTTTTACCCACGATAGATGACTCTAAAACTAAGCTTAATTTAGAGGTGAGTGCAATTTTATGTTTGATTCAACCTTTATTTATATTGATTAGCAGTTCTGATTTTGGACTGTTTAATTATTTCAGCTCTTCAAAGCTTGAAAGATATTAAATATTCATGATGAGTATAGTAGAGTCAATCCCAATGTACTAATTTTATGATTGATTGACGATACACAATTGGTTCATTGATACTCTGTTATTAGTTTCACTTATCTACTTGTATATTCAAATATCACCATTTAATTATCTGCATCATTAGGTGATGATTCATCACCGATGAATGAATACATCTAAGATTCCGCCAATCAATCACTTCTAGATACAGATTATGTATTGTTGATAGTTTATGTGAACTTCTATGCTCCTTTGATGATTCATTTTTAATTTTCAAACTGCTCAACAATGTTAATTTATGAATAGATTATTGTTGCGTTTAATTTCACTTTTAATCTTATCTGCAGCTTTAAGTTTCTTCAGTTATTTCGTATTATATTGTAGATAACTTTAGTTTTTCTATCTACCTGAATAGCTTGCCTTCTTAAATAACCGATATCGACTTTCTATGTCTAATAAAGTAATTTCAATCACATTAATAGTCTATACTAGATTTCAAATGCTGAAATGCCAAATTTCTATTGCATTGCAGTATTTTAGTTTATGTTGCACTTTTTCTCTAACATCTAATAATCTTTTCTTAACCCGCTTATTCACTAGGATCACTCTGAATCTGGTCTATATAGAGCTGAAGGAAACAGTCACTCAATGGAAACCATCCCATTACCAGTTAAATCAAATTCAGAGCCATTTATTCAACAACAAACTCTCTTAAATCTTGAAAATAAGCTTAATTTGGATCTACCAGAGATGGAAACATTTGAGGTAGAGTTAGTTAAAGACCAACAAGGTTTAGGAATTACTATTGCTGGATATGTCTGTGAAAAAGGTATGTTTTAACTTATCTGTTATAACTTAATGTTTATGTGGTATTTTACCTTAATTGATTCAACATTATCTTTCTAACATTAACTGTTTTATTTTTTACAGAGGAAATCTCAGGTATTTTTGTTAAAAGCATTGCTAAAGGTAGTGCTGCATATTTGTGCCAAAAAATTTCAATTCATGATCAGATTATCGAGGTTGATGGTCGATCACTTTACGGTTATACTAATCATCAAGCAGTTGAAGTGCTAAGGAACACTGGCAAAATTGTTAAATTAAGACTAGCTCGATATCTACGAGGGACCAAATATGAGCAGCTCCAACAGGCTATTTCTGATGCCGATATGGAACCACCAATTCTTCCATTATCAAGAACTAATAAAACCACAATTCAAGTACAGAGTGGCAGTTATCAACAAGAGGACTTACATGATTCCACATTTTCATCATCAATTGTTAACAATAATCAAATTCCATTTGTTCCTCCCTTAAGTCTTGCCGTTGAAACAGCAGTTATAAATAAATGGTCAGCAGTATTAGGTCCTGAATATGAGATTGTGGTAAGTTATCTATTTATTATTGTAACACGCTCATTACGCATTTTAATTTGATAAAAATATAAATTAAATATATAAATACATTTTATAAATTTTCAGGTTGCTCAAATTAGAAAGTTCAAAGAAGGTGGAGGATTGGGTATTTCTTTAGAAGGTACGGTCGATCTTGAAGATGGCGAAGAAGTTAGACCTCATCATTATATTAGAGCCATTCTTCCCGATGGGCCAGTTGGTGTTAATGGTCTATTGAGAAGTGGCGATGAAATTTTAGAGGTTAATGGTAAAGAGTTGTTGCGGTTGAATCATGGTGATGTTGTGCCTCTATTGAAAGAACTGCCGATGAATGTGTGTATGGTTTGTGCTCGAGTGAAGGTGCCAAGTAATCTGCCATCACCTCAGCTAGACACTGTTGATCTGAGTGCCAATGATATACATTCCATCAAACATGTGAATCCTATGTTAGAGAATCACATGAGTACCACAACAATCTCAGGTGATCGACTAGTCAAAGCTAAATCAGATGGATCTCTTGCCATCGGCGTATCCAGCTCGGTCGATTTGGCTAAAATGAAATCTCGTTCCTTGGAGCCTTTAACAGGTCTTGCTATGTGGAGTAATGAAGTTCAAGTAATTGAACTAATCAAAAGTGATCGTGGTCTAGGCTTCAGTATTCTTGATTATCAGGTAGATTTTTATGTCCATTTTTTCATTATTCTTGTCATTTTATCTTTTATTTCGAGAAAAACTCACACCTTTTTTAATGCTGCCTATTTTTAACTCATTAGGATCCTCTGAATCCCCATGAAACTGTAATTGTCATCCGAAGTTTGGTTCCTGGAGGAGTGGCTCAGCAAGATGGTCGATTGATTCCTGGAGATAGGCTTTTGTTTGTAAATGATATCAGCCTTGAGAACTCTACTCTTGATGTTGCGGTGCAAGCGTTGAAAGGGGCTCCTCGAGGTGTTGTGCGGATTGGTGTTGCTAAGCCCCTTCCTCTTCCAGAAAGCTCAAACTCTTCCCAGGTGAGTGACACTAATCGTTATGTCACTCGATCAATTCCAACACCTTCTTGGGGAGAGAGGGGCTTAGATTCGTCCACCAGTAATCAGTATAGTGGTAACTGCAAACACTCCTCATACCATCAACTACCATCTTACACTTGAAAAAAATGACGAAAAGAAACAGGCATTAATCATTTAAATCTATCAGCATTTCTTGAAAGATAATCTAATTGAAATGTTTCTAATATTATTCTGAGAGTTGCTTTCTTTTTTCGGATAAAATTGTATAAAGGGTGTAACATTTTATTCGGTCTAAAAGGTTGAGATTTACCCAAATTTTCATTGGTATCTATCCAAATAATGGTAATCTCATCTAGTTTTTAAATTTTATCAGGTCAGCTGTCTTATATTTATCTCCACCTTTTTATACCAAGTAAAGTGTTACACCCTTTATATCTAATAGCATTAGTCAATAATTATGACAATATGAAGAGCTAATTCAAAATCATTTATAAAATTGCACGAAATTAAGTTCTGCATTTAGTTAAGTTAATTTTTGGTTGCTATTTCCATTAACAAATCAGGTCATAACGAGATATTAATCTTACAAAATCATATTGAACAAAACTTTAATCTCCATTTATATCAAGAATCAAGCATTTAACCCAGAATAACTCATGATCAAAACTGCAATCAAAAATTAACTCACTTTTCCGAATGTCAAAATAATTGAATCTGAGCTGCTTTCTCCCTCCAGTTTTGTTAACTTGCGTCAAGTTTACTTACGATAATCAATTTTGATTGACTAAAGTGTATGGATTTTTCATTTATCAGTTCGCACATTCGCTTCTTTATGCATTATTTTTTACAATGTTAAGTTGAGGTCAATGTTGATGTGCAATTTTTCTGCACCAATTTGTTTATTCTGTTAATTTTGCAATAGGAATCTCTCTCAATCCTTTCTCTCAACTAATGTTATTTTTATTTTCTCACATTTCCAATTTTTTCTCTTACACTTTCTCAATTTTCTGAGTATTAATTCCTGTCTATTTGCTATTGCCTTGCGTGTTTGCTGACGCATAAAAGCTTTTTTCTCACAGCCTTTACATATTTCAGCTTCTCTCTCTCTCTTCGTCTCACTCAATTTATCAATCTTGTTACTCTTTTCTTCTTATTAATCGATAATTTTAAGCCTAACAAAACAACTTACGAGTAAGACTATTACTAGCTGTACTTATAACTCGACTGCTCAACTCAACAATGATTTAGCTAACAATTTACCAACAGAAACAAATTGTGATGTTTTACATTAGAAAATACATTTCTTATTTCAAAGGGAAACAAAAGGCTTATTCAGTTATACATGAATCCATGATAATATAATACATGTATATTGATGATTATGATGAAAAAAGGGATTAATTTAAAACTGCAAATGCATCAAAATTAAGGCTACTTCGTCCAAATTTTATCATTATTATATCAGTTTACCTCTTTTTTATGTTTTTTTCATGGAATCTCTTTATTCTCTATTGATTTGCTGTGAAATCTCGAACAAAATGCAAAATATTGAAATAAATTGAAGCATTTATTGTTTACCTTATATAAATGTCCTTTTGATGAGTATCATTTTGGACGATATATCAATCTTTCCCCTCCTCTTGAAACAAAAATGACTGATCTCTTCAAGTAATCAAAATAAATTCAATTAACCCTAATTGAACTCAATCAACTTACTTACCGGGGTTTACTGGTGTTCGTCTCTGTCTCTCTCTCACTCTCTTCAACAAATCAACGTGAATTAATCGATAATTAATTTAATCTCGCGATCTTTTAACGTAATTGAAGTGTTAAACCTAATCATCGGTTTTAGGTTTGTAACTGAACAAGAAAAAAAACATAAAAATGATCAATTGTGTGTTCAAGGGAAACAAACGTAAATGCAATTTCCTGATGATTCTGATCATTTGATGACTATCTTAATGATCAACCATTTGTTTAATTATTTTTTTACAACCTTTTATTGTCCTAAAATCATTATTCAATAATCGGATTGAATCAACAAACTATTCAATTTTTTCACTATATTTCAGTCTAAAATAATGGAAGCTCTTGAGGCTAAACATTTTGATGTTAAATTACCAAGTAACGTAGACAAATCAATTAATTCCAGTGTAATATCTATTGAACCATTCCACGATGACGCAGATGATCATTTTAAGGTTTGTTCAATGAATATCATGATCAGAACTACCAATTGCATGTTGATCATTTTCAAATTTAGTAAGCAAAGCATGTACCTTTACTAATCACATTTCCTTATCCTTACAACTTACTATTAAAATATATTTATTTAATTGTGCTTTATGCATTATATTTTTTGTTAATAGTTTTTCACTTTTAATTATCATTTATTTATTATTATTTGTTAAATCAAAATGACTTACGGTTTTTATTTTTATTTTGCTTTATTAGGAGCTTTGCTATCAAGAACCCAAAGAACCAGCAATTTCATCAAGCATTGGATCCATTCCAGATCGTTTCGCTCACTCAGCTCCTCCAAACTCTCTACCCTTTTCACCCTTTGTTTCTGGCGATTCCCTCCTTATATCATCTGATTCAAGATCATCGACACCTTTAGACTTTGGTTTTAATTCACGAACTCCAAGTGAAAACATTGACCCAAGTCTTTCAGTTATATTACCATTACCTTCAGCCTTGGAAAGAACAATCAGAATCAGAAAAGGCAATGATCCGCTTGGTAAGAACTTTTTGATTGCCCAATGAACTTTATCATAATAATGGACAGCTTGAAGGATTGCATTCCAAGAAAACTGTCACAATCAGATGATGTCTGTTAACTTTATAATTGACCAATTTATCCAACTGTAAACACCATTCAACGTCACAAATAGTTGATAAACGATGCAAAACTCTTTAAGGCAAAAGGCAAAAGATGTCCAACAATTGTCCATTTAACCAGAAAATTGTCCATTTAACTTTACCTTTTTTATTTTTCATTTTACAGGCCTTACATTAGAGTTAGCTGATCGAGGTATCAATGGTCTTGTTGTCAAAGCTTTAGCTCATCATGGAGCCATTTACAAAGATGGACGAGTTCAATTGGGTGATTATTTAGTTGCCATTAATAATGAAAGTTTACGAAATGTCACAAATTCACAAGCTCGAGCAGTACTTCGTCGAGCTCAGTTATTAAGCACAGATATAAGGTAACTTATTGAACAATTTTGTACACTTGTTCACAAAAGGATTGAAAACTAAATAATTAATTTATTTCTTTCTTCCCAGTCTCAAATATGTTCCTGCTGAAGATGTTTCTGTTCACAAACAATCAGCCTTACTAGCTTTACAGCACAATCAAATGCCAAATAAAGGACGAGAATCGCCATTACTTGCTTTAATACGTCGTACACCGTCACCCAGGTACATCTAAATAATTGAATTATTGTTCAACCTCACCAGCTCAAGTTACATGGCAATTGAAATGCGGACAAATTACTTTAATCTAATTTGGATCCCCTGTTATTTCATTGTTATCATCATCCATTGCACCTTCACCAATCAATCCACAAATTCACTTATAACCTTATTATTAACTGTTCTTGATAGGATTCTTATTGCTTCATTTTTTTCTCTGTCTCTCAATTTTACTGATCATTGCGTTCTTTCCTTTCTCACACTTCCCACATTCTTGATCCTTTTTCAATAAGATTTATTGAGAATATTCATCTTTTCATTTTCCTCATTGAATCCATAAAACTTCATCAGCCTGTTCTTTATTTTACCTTTGCTATCTTCCTTTCTCTCTCTCTCTATCTCTTCACTTGTCATCCTTTAACCAAAATATTTTACCATCATTTTTCATTTGCTTCCCCATTATGTTAACCAAACTTGTCATTAAGGACCTTTCACATAATTTCACCTGAAAATAACGTTATTAACAATTACATCAACCCAATCTAACTCTTAATTAACAATTAACAATACTCTTTTTCTTTTTTCCTATTCCATTCCAATCACAATTTGCTAACCAACAGGAGATATCCTAAATATTATCGGTAGGCTCCGATTTATTAGGAATACTATTTTTGTCTTTATTTTTTAAACCTTTTTTATGTTCATTATTTTATCTTTCTTCATCATTTTACATTCATTTTAATTAATTGTCTTCTTATTATTGTGTTTCAAGTTCACCCTATTTTGGATCAAGAAGAAGTGAAAGTGACTCCGAGGAAAATCTTATTTCATCGGATACTTTAGTTCAATCATCGTGTCCACAATTAAATACCAAACAATCCTGTTGTTCACTTGACAAAAGTAAATCTGATTCACCGGACGTTCATTCATCATCACCTGAGATCTCAATTAAACATCAAGGTCCATCAACAATGACGGAAATTGACTCATTACCTTCATCTTCCAATAAGATTGAAACAATTGATTGGCTCAATAACAGTACCATATCGAGAAGTGCTTCCTCCGAAATAACCAAAGCACAAGGTTGTTATCTTGGTTCAAAATGAATTAATCATCCTGTAATATTGTCTAACTGTACTAATCAACAATTAATCATCCAAAACATTATATATAATTATCTAAACCCGAAAAAGTTTGCAAAAATGTTCAAGAGTTTCGTTTACTGGTTAGCGGCAAAATATCTATATATTCATCTAAATTGCCAACTCCTGACCCTTTTATTCAGCCCTGAATATTGATCTACAGATTTTAGTTGAAACCATTTTAACGCTTCTTTTCCATTTCTTTCACGCTTATATCATTTTTGCATATCTTTTCAATTTTCAACAGAATAATTTACTAACCTTTCAATTTAATTTTTGTCTTCCTTCTAAATTATAAGGCTTGTTTTAAATAATTGATTATTTCAACTTTCATCCATTTCTCTTCCTTTAATTTGTGACTAATGAAAACTTAAACTAATGTAAATTTCTCCCTGAATGTTTCCATCTATTGAAAGAGTTAACTCACGAAGGTTATCAACTGAATTTGAAGTGTATCAACAAGGAATCTGATTATCTTCAATTGAAATTTATGGCAAAATTTAAATGGCTCTACATTCAGTAAACATTTTTAAATTGCTGTTGATATATCTTTAGCTGTTAACTCTTTTAATTTAAAGAAATTTTCTGTCGACTCACAATTTTTCATGCCAATATTTTTTTTCTACGTTTAATTTTGTTTCATTTCAGAACCACAAGTGCCTACCAATGAGCTTACACTAGGTTATCTAGGATTAGCAACTCGAAGCCATTCAGCAATTAATTTATCAAATAGCAATACTTCCAGTTCAAGTGTGACCACCGTTAGTGGCTCATCAACATTGGCTCGTCAGTGGGGCTCACCTCGAACTATTGAATTAACCCGTGAACCTGATCAAGGTTTAGGCATCTCCATTGTTGGTGGTAAAGTTGACCTTTTCAACTTATCACCAGGCCATTCAATTGGTGGTATTTTTGTGAAAAACATTCTTCCTGGAAGCCCGGCTGCCAAAAGTGGTCTTCTTAAGCGAGGTGATCGTATACTTGAAGTAGATGGTAGAGACTTGCGTGAAGCAACCCATGATGCTGCCGTTGAAGTGATTAGAAGTGCTCAAAATCCAATCAAATTTGTTGTACAATCTTTACTTCCAGTGCCCCGTGAAATGATGGATGATGTTGAACTGTCTTCATCCCAAAAAGCACCCGAAGCTGTGGATACATCTTCCAATGCTACCCTTGCTGCAATAACTTCGGTAACCGATGAAGATTGTCTCAGTGAACGGGATAATACACGATCTGAAGAGCTCACCTCTTTACCCAAAAGTACCTCTGAATCATTGAGGCCCTTTGAAGGTTGGATTCCTCCAAGGACACCTTCACCAGTAGTCATTCAACCTGGATTGGATGATGAAGCGCTTCAAGAAAATCAAGCTCAACTTGAAGCTGCTCGAACATCTCAATTTAAAAGTGACGAACCCGATGAACCATCGGAAGAAATTATTGTTAAAAAATTGACCAAAACTAAAACAGTTTCTCTTGCCTCTGAAACAACTGAAGACTCAGATTCTGAAGAAGAGGAAATCAATGTTAGAGATACCAAAGGAAAGGTTTTCTCGGCTAAAGGAGTTGAGGTAAAAATCAATTGACTTCAAGTTGACTATTTAATACAATAAAATTAAATTGAAATCTTTCTTTGTTAACCAGATTGACCGGACGAGTGCTGGTAACATTAAACTTGCTCCAGGTGAAGTTGACGAAGAAGAGGATGAATTTGGTTATACATTAAGTAAGTCACTGATTTATTTTGATTCATTCACATTGACCAAATAATCCGGATTGATATAAATTGCTATTGAAAGTTATCTCTTATTATTATTTGCTTTCAAATCACAATTTGATATTATTGATGATCAACTCTTACTTAGTAATTTTTACCATTATTCATCAATTTGTGCAATCAATCCCTATTTTGATTATAACTTTGACATTTATACAAATCGATAAATTGTATATTCATTAACTTGATTTAAAAAATCAATCTCCATGCAAATTGGATTCATCTTGAATAAGTTTAGATTGTTGACTGAATACATTTGAATTTTATTTCTGGTTTACATCATACACTTTCAGGTAACCAATCAAATGAGAACCCAAAAATTTTACTCCAATTTAATAGATACATTGAAATGTTTCAAAATGATTTAATCTGGGTTAATCTTTTGTTTATTAATCCAAATGAGGATTAGTAAACAAAAAAACTTATTTGGGTTAACCAAAGATTTACCCATTTCAATCTAGCTTTTCATTGAGTGTTTTTTGCAACAATCAAACCAACAAAAGTAAAGCTTTACAGAAAAAGCGATTTCACTATTTTTTCCTCTTTTTTCACATTTATTCATATATCGATCAATTTATACAGAAAAAAAACATCAGCAGATTCAGGTTAATAAAAAATAGCATTTGTTTTGTTTCTATTCTCATTGAGAAACTGAACTGAAAACTAAACTGAAAATAAACTGAATTGATTTCAATTATATTGTTTTTCAGTTTATCTCCCAACCCTATTTTTTTCATTTACTTGCTCTTTTATTGATTATCAATGTTAAAAGGCTCTAATATTTCAACTAGAAAAATCTAATTACATGAAAGACTTACTGACACATCGTCTTGTCTATTACTTTTAATCAATTGATTGTCTCCTTTCAAGCCATTATTATTTCCTGAGCATGTTCCCGGCATCCGAATACACTTCACCATTTCACAGTTTATCAATCCTAATTCATCTCTTTTTGTAAACTTGACTGATCAACAAAACAATTGATGAAACCAGAAATATCATTCCATTCCCATTGATTATGTGATCAGATAAATCAGCTAGAATCATCATATCAATGGATATTTGTTATTTCAACCATTAAACACATTTTACGGTTACTAATTTTATTATTTTTTAAACCAATTCGAGGCAAAATAAATCTCTAAAATATTAAACACAAGTATCAATCACAGTTAACATTCACTATTTAGATTATTGTAATGATTTTGATAGCAATCTATTTTAATATAGCAAAGGTTTAACTTGACTTCCAGTTAACAACGCAATGATTTGTGCTCTTTTAACAATTGTATATTGATTAACTATTACTAGACTAAATCTGACTTGAACGTTATTTTTGTGTTGATTGTAATGATTTAGCTTGTCTTTTATTTTAATATAAATTCATGAATATGTAATTTAATCAAAGAATCTTGATATCGATTGAAATTGTTGATTGTATTTACGTTACAAAAGGAAAGTCAAAATAGATTACCCAGATTTGTGTGAACAATTGAATCTTCATGTTAACTCAGCAGTTGCAGGCAAAAAATAAACATTTCAATTTGAACCAAAAAAAAACAAGTCAACTTAATGACGATTTGCCTATCAAGTTACTTGTCTAATTGTCTAATGGTTGTTAATTATTCATCAAATTACTGATTTCATAATAAATTTTACCTTTCATTTTATCCAATTTACCACACTTTGACCAGTAATTAAACAATTGTATTACTTTGAATTGAACATTTGGTTATCCAAATGATTGTGTTTACTGTTCAATGAGACTTTGACATTGACATTGATTTAGTTATCATAAGAATCATTAAGAATTTCTTGGAATTAATTCCAAGAAAACATTATCATGTAAACAGTGCCAAATAATAGTGAAATTGTTGTTACTTTTTAACTTTCATTATTATTTTTGATTTGCTTTTCAGACTAAATAAACAACTGTAACTTAATTTGATTCCCATTCAATCAAGAGTTAATTAATTTCTCACATGATAAAATTGTGATCAAATCATTGAAATTGATAACATTGAAGTGGCATTGAAAAGATTGAAAATTTCATCATAAATACTCATCAGTAAACAATTGACTGTGAAACAATTTGCGTGATTTACCGCACAAATTGCTGTCTGAATCAATCAAACTGATGATGAAATTGATGATAAAATTGATGAATAAAAACACATTGTTGCTTATAAACATGATCAAATCAATAATAACATACTTAATTGTAAGTATATATCCGGCCGTGATGAAGAGACTTGAAAATCAAGGGTAATCACTGTCATAAACATATTTGTAATAATTTCAAGAATAATGATCTTATTATGTATCATGGTTGCAGTTTATTTCCCATTCATATTAAAGATAAATCATCTTAATCATCAACTCCTAACAAATTAACTATCTAATTAGCTATCAATCAGAAAAGGAAAAATAAAAAATGTTAATCATGTTTTAATGTCACCATTTTATTGCCTTAACATTTCGCTCTTTGATTATGTAAAAGATTCTTTTTGTTCAAGTTAATGAATCAAGAATCGATAAATGCATGGTGAATTCATTATTCTCATATCTTCCTGTAACCTTAAATTTTCAGTCTTCCGTTTCTTACCCTCAACGATTGCTTTCTTAAAATGCATATCAGTTCCATATCATCCTGTGATTGATTAAGATAATCGACTATTAATTTTATCCTTAGACCGTTATTAACCAACATTTAACTTAATTAATTAGTCATAATTACTTTTGATTAGCTTGATATGAATTGATCTCTTTTGGTTTTAGTTGAACATTTTATTCAATCTGTTTTTCATTTTAGAGGAAAGCCTTTGAAGCATTCATTTCAAGTGTAATTTCTGGTTATTGTTAAAGTGATTCTGGTTTAACAGTAACCAAAGTAATCAAAGGTTGAATCAATTGTTTAAATTGACAGTTTATTTAAGTTTGAAACAATCAAATAAATAACATTTCTATCAAGTTAGGCATTTGATGAGCATTTTAAAAATACTCATCACTTTTTGTTTTATTGGGTTAAAATTGACTTCAACTGTCAATTTCATTGTTTTTACTTTGCTTTGAAAACAAAAGGTTTCACCATAAATGCATGATAGTTTGAAGGGAACAAAGAATAATTTACAATTTTCTAATGCTCAGAATTTGTGTAAAATTTTGGGTTAACTTTTGTTTTTCTTGTTGTTTCATCATGGTGATGATGATGATGCTGAACAACATGCGCCTTACCATTTGAACCACTTTTCAAATTGACGCAACTCTGTTTCACTTTCTTCATTTTATCATGATTCCTCTCTCACTATCAACACAATTTTTCATTCATCTAATTAACCAACAGTGTGTATACACATTTGCATGAGTCTTTGCTTTTTCCCCTTCATTAACCATGTTGAACTGTTGATTAATTGTGTTTTGATTAATGGATATTATCACTTGTGTATTGTCTATCAGACAACATAATGTCAAATAGTTGAGTTACTAGTCATTGTGCTCATCTTTTAGTAAAATGTGATCAACAAGAAGACAACAAAATCAGCAAAAATAAAAGATGTATCTTCACAAGATTGATCTTTTATGTAAAACTGTGATTACAAATTGAATGCAAATTGAAAGTTAACAATGAAACTTACGGATAACCTTTAATGAAATGCCAGTTCAAGTGAACAAAATGAGTGAACAAATTTCCAATCCCATCAATTTTGATGATCTTACACTATTTGGTAAATATAATCAATTGAAATACCAAATCCTCATGTCTGTCATATCAGTAATCAATGGATAATTTAAAGCTAAATTTAACCCAATAACAGTTAAATCTGTGTAAAAAACCCAATGTTGACAAAGCTGTTAATAGTAGCCAGAGTTACCTTTTTTATTGGTGAATAAAAAGCTTTGTATCAGAAGCATACCTTACCTTTATCATCATCATCATCATATTCATATTCATATCATCTACTACTTCATCACTTTTATACTTTTTACCTTTTTATCCCTGAAAGCTTGTTATTATATTTGTCATCCTTTTCTTTATTATTATTGAGAAGATCCTCTTCTCTGATCATCTTGAAGAGCAAGTTTCATGCAGCAAGATTACGATTATCATGATATCTATTCAGTGGGAGTAAATGGTTTTAACACTTTTCAACCAACAATCAATGTCCAACCAGAAGCTGATGATTCTTGATTCAATTCAACTTCTTATTCTCCTCTCAATTCATTTCTTGCCTACTACTTGAATCTACTAACGCTTCTCACCATTCAAGTGATACACCACCCATTATCGATCCAACCCAATTACCTCTTCCTCTCACTTTCTCCTTTCTCCTTTCCCTTTCATCTTCTTTCTTATCTTCACTTTTAACTCTTTCTTTCTCTCTCTATTCTCCTATCTGTCTATTGAGTCTTTCCCTTCATCTTTTGTATTCTGTTTGTTCATCTTCATCTCATACCTATTTTATTTTCTCGTTGATCAAATTGAAACAGAAATGCCCAACAACAATCCGGATTATTTGGGTAATGCAGACATCATTCTGGCCCAAGTTTATTATTAGCTTTACTCTTTTCATTCATACCAATATTAGCCTTGTAACTATGATCATTGTGATTGTTAACACCAATCATTTAGATTGACAATCGCGGCCAGTTTCGTTTTTTACTTCATCTCAAACAGAAATCCAGAAATTCTTTTCTTTTTTTCTCCTAAACAATCTTCTAATTTGTTCTTTTCTTTTTTTATTTCTCCTTCAATCTTGTTTATTCATTATCCTGGTGATCTTCATCATTACCTTCATCAACATTGCTACCATCATGAAACTTTTACGGATTTCCTCTTTTGTTTTATGCTCTTGATTTATCGTTGTTTATCTTCTGACAAATAAAAAACAAAATGTGCATTACAATGACAGAGAAGGCAAATAAACGTTATGGGCAACTTGGTGGTGAAATATTAATTGTTGATTTAGTTAAAAGAGCAACTGGATTAGGAATAAGCCTTGCAGGTAACCGTGATCGTAACAAGATGAGTGTTTTCATCGTTGGATTACATCCAAAAGGAGCTGCAGCTAAAGATGGACGAATCAAGGTTGCTGATGAAATATTAGAGGTAAAACTTGAACTCAAGTTGACTTTAAAATAGAGTATCAAATTATTCATTCAACGATTGTTTTCTTAATTTCTTTTAATCTCAGGTAAACGGTGTTGTACTCCATGGAAGATGTCATCTCAATGCTTCAGCCGCAATTAAAAGTTTGCCTGGACCAGTTTTCAAGATGGTCCTCTTAAGGTACTCAATAAAAGTGTTTCCAAAAATATTGAAAGATCAAAGCAAAAGGATAAAAATTGGAGACAACAAAATAATTTGTTCATTTGTCTGTTTCATGAATAGTCAGTGAAATCTGTGAACCATGTTGAAAGTTGATGACCATTGAGATTGTCAGGCTAACATTTGTTTTGATGAATGATATTTATTTTTCTTTCCATCCAGAATGTTGATCAGCTTTTCAGATATTATTTTATCACTAGAGTCCTTGAATGATAGAAACAACCCAATTGAATTGGATAAAAAAAAAGTCAATCCAAAGACTGTAAAGGAAAAATAATTTACTTTTCGTTCTTTACTGTGATTTATTTTTCTCCATTTTATCTCATGTTCAGTTTGATTGATTGATTTTCTACTGTTTCAACATCATTAATCCTTTATCTTGTTTTATGGTGATTTTAGACGAGAAGGTGCCTTAGACGAAATGGCTGTTAAAGAAGTGATCCAATTTCCCGTCCATTTAGAGGAAGAGGCGCTTCAGGAGAAGTACAATAAATTCCACGGAGTCAGAACTGTAACTGTACGAAAGGTAACTTGTTGAACTGAATCTTGTTTATTGGTTAGTTATTGATTGTTTTATTAATAACCTTTTTTTGCTCTTCATTTCCAGGGAGCTTCTGGTCTGGGAATTATGATTATTGAAGGGAAACACACTGAACTTGGTAGAGGAGTTTTCATTTCTGATATTCAGGAATCAAGTCCAGCTGAACAAGCAGGATTAGCTGTTGGTGATATGATCCTCTGTGTAAATCAAACTGATCTGGTTGGAGCAGATTATGATACTGTTAGTATCATTTGATTGACTTTTATCGACTAATTTATTGATCAACTTTGGTTAATTTTTCTTCTCTTCTTTTTTTCTTGATTGATTGCAGGCTGCGTCAACCCTTAAAAACGCTGAAGGACTTTTATCGATTATTGTTGCCAAACCACATCGAGTTTCAAATCGACCTGATCAAGTATTAGCTCAACCAGGCGAAGAAATAGCTCAAAGTGATCCAAAGAAAGATCAAAGTAAGTTGAATATGATTATCGATTAAGTCAGATTATTTTTACTCTCTCAGGTTAAACATGAACAAGATTAAATCAGTTCAATATTGTTACTCTTAATCAATACAAAAACAAACTATTGACAATTTGTTACCAGTTTTTGTTTTGTTTATTGTTTTTTTCAAATCATTCAAACAAGAGAACAAAAAAGTAATTTCTAGATTTATATTAATCATTTAGATCGCTTGAACCTTGATTAGCGAGAGATGCTCTAGTTATTTTAATTGACTAATGCCCATTTAACTCTTGCTATCAATTGTTTCAACTTGAATTGTGATTTAAATCACATTAAGGCTGCTTTCCTAATTGTTATTAAATTAGTTTCAATGCCACTCCATTTTGCCAATCCCTTCAACTTATAGTTTATAGCTGTGCTTTTTGTACACTTGAAGTTATATTAATAATAAATTAACAGTAGATTTGCTTGCAATTTTCATGTCTTGCTATCAATGATAATTTAAAACTAGCTTTAATTGTCTCAATCGCAATTATCCTTAACAACACACATTTATCTTAATTTTAACTTTTAGATGTTTCAATTCCTTCCAATGCACATTTAACTCTAGATTACAATTTACATGAAACTCAATCACAATGAGAAGCACATTAACATTGCTCAAGCTTTTATTATAATTTCCTTTGTTATTTTTGTACTCTTTTTATTTCAAATATTTGTTATAACAAGTCACCTTGTCAATGTTAAGATCTTTGCTTAGCAATCAATCAAATTTGTCCTCATTGTTAAATTACTTACATTATTTACCGTTACCTTTTTGTTCTCTCTTCAACTTATTGAACAAAACAATTCAAACATCGAGATGATTATCATTATTATAGATTATAATCAGAGCGATTTGATCCACAAGTAGTTACTGTTAAGCTTTATATTCCGATCACCTTGTTAGACCAACAATTAATTCATAAAGCACTTTACTCGCTTATCAAAAGTTAACACCTTAATGCTAAAATTATATTCTTCCAGTCAGTTCACATTGAAAAAGGCTGAAGTATCGGTGAAACAAGTTTCAGTTCAAAATATACACTGTAAGCTTGTAAGTTACAGTTTGAAACTGTTCCCTGCAGTAATGG